CTTAACTTTCAGAAAAGTATTTCAAAATAAAATTGAGTATAATGTATCTGAGTTTCTACTGCATATTCTTTTAAAACTCTAAATTGTAATGTGAGACAAACTGGAAGTAAGACTTTTATGTTCTGAAGCACAGATGTGTGAATTAAATGGCCTTGAATGTTCTTCAGAGCAAAAGTATCTAGGAATATGTGACGTCTGTGAAATTCAAGTGAAGGCTTCTGTATGATATTTTAAGAACAGATGCTCTTGCTTATCCGGCTTTGGCTTTGTAGTATCTCTTGGTGGCTTGTGAAATATATCTTTTTTCCTTAATGGCCTGAAACAAGGCTGGCTTTGAACACTGGTTTTATGCATCCCCCCTCCCCCATTTGCGCTCCACACACCTTTTGTGCATTGGTCTTCTGGAAATCTTAAGGTTTGTTTTGTGCTTCTTTTTCAGTGTGATGCAGTGAGCATACTAGAGAAGGAACATGACTACAGAGAAGAACAGTTTGACTTTATTCAATCCCACATTCGCAGATTCTGCTTACAGTGTATCCTTCTCTTGCTTGAAAAATGGGGAAGCTGAGAGATCTCCTCTGTTTGTTTATTTAAATTTATATCCCGCCCTCCCTGCCAGAGCAGGTTCAGGGCGGCTTACATGAAGTATATAAAACAGCTAAAACAGAATTTGAATGAAATCATAACAATACAGTTATATGCCTCTTTTGGCATCCCAGGTTCCAGTCCGTTCAGTGGTCTTTGGCAACTATTGGCTGTTTTTTGCTGTCTTTGTATTTTCAACCCCCTCCCCCATCAGTTGGTACCTTAATGTGTATGGAAGGAGAAAGTAAGGTCCAATATTTCCCTGGGCCACATAGACACACATACGATCCTCTCTGTGTCTTCTGCATATTTTGGAACTGAGGCTGCACTTCTGTGCAAGTGTGCATAAGAGTGAGTCCCACTGAAGGCAGTAGGGCATGCACCAGAGTATGCCTGTAGGATCTGGCTGCATGTTGCATGGTGAGTTTTGCAGATGACGTAGGTAACTGCCACTTCTATTTGTTAATTTTGTTAATCTCACAATTCCTCCAAGGAGCTAGGTAGCTCCTGCGGCTCCCTGCCCCTGATTACTCCCACAACCCTGTGAGAGAACTTAGGCTGAGAGGTAATGATTGGCCCAAGGTCACCCAGTGAACTTTGTTGTGAATGGGGGATTTGAACCCACATCCTTCCCCTCCCCAGTGTGACACTGAGCCTACTATTTAACTTTCCTGTTTTGCTTTTAAACCATAATTGATGTGTCTTTCAAGTTTTCGCCCTGTTGCAAGCCCCCCCCCCCCCTGCCTGTTCTGAATGGTCTCTCGTTAGATATTGAAATAGCTGTATTGAAAGCATTTTACACTGGGCCTGTCCCATCACCATATTCGAATTTGTGAAAACTTTGCTCTTTAAAAAAAAAAAAGTAACTTTAAGAGGGGAATTTCAGTTTTTTTTCCATCCTGTGCTTCTGAAATTTTCCTTAAAACAAATAAATAGATGGCGCAGCCTTGATTTATACATCAGTTAAGGAGGAAAAGAACCTCGACTTGTTGTATAAGTACATTGTACATAAAACATACAGCTTTCACTTTACCACACCTGCCTTAGTGGTAGAAAAGGACGCAGTTTTCATGTAAGTGAAAAGTCTAGGTGAGATGTAGTGCTGGAACATTGTCTTGTTACGCTTATTTGCACGAAAGCCTACAAAGCCACTTCAGTTGGGGAAACATTAAGGTTAAGGGGTGGATATGGATATGAAAAGTCCTTGTACATAAATCAAAAATAAGATCATAACATTTACATCCCAGTTACCCAGTAGAAAATGTCACTGATTTTAATATAACTTTTCTTCCAAATAAATGTGTCTTTAACATATTTGTGTATCACCTTTCGATACAATGCCCAAGCAATGTTCCCTCTAAGCTGTGGAGTCTTGTGTGCAAAACTTCTACTTTGTGAGCAACTGGCATTAAAGCTGTGAGCCAGCGATTTGGCTACTGCATAAATTAGTTTGCTCTGGAGCAGTCCTTCCTGAGCTAAGACAAAAATCTGTGAGCTGGAGGCTAAAAAACTGTGAGCTAGCTCACAGTAACTCAGCTTAGAGGGAACACTGTGCCCAAGATATCTCACAGCAATAGCACTCTAAAACAGTTCCTTAAAGTATCATTCAGATTAAAACAGCAGATACAGAAACATGATTACAAGTTGTATAAAAATATGAACGGCAGAAAATAAATCAGCCAACTTCCTGTTTCACAGCAGATGAAAACCAGCATAAAAGGGACAGTGATAAAATAGCAAATGGCATCAGTTGAACCAGAGCCTAACAAAAACAGAATGGCATGTGAATGATAGAAAAGGTGATGCCAGTTGACTCTCTTGGGGGGAAATATTCCAGAATTCTGTCTCCCCCACTGAAGATGCCTCTTTCCACCCACTCTCCCACCTCTATACTCAATGGGGTCATCTAGATTTGGGCCTAGAAGGTGACTTCACTGAACAGTTCGGACTGTATAGGAAGAGCACAGCTTTACAGTCGTCCTGGTCCCAGACTGTTGAGGGTGTTAAAGGCTAGTGGCTTTGAATTACACTTAGAAATGTATTTGAAAACCAGTGAAGATATCTCAGAATTGTAAAGAGTAAAACCACCAGACATCTGCTGTGGCCAGATTCTTACCAATAACCTGGGCGCAGTGTTTTGGGCCATGTTGCAGTTTTCAAAATGTCTTTGTAGATAGCTCTGCGTATTACAGTAGTCTAATCCTGATGGAAGCATGGTTAACTGTAGCTAGATCATTCTCTCCAAGGAAATGGAGCTGGAGCGCAAACCAAAGTCAGCAAAAACTGGGATTGCGCTCCTACAAGGGCCATCCCAATTCCAAAGTTTTCCCCTGCCTATGAGCCTGATCCTTTAGAGAGAAAAGTTACCCCATCCACACAGGCAACAAGCCACTCTCCAGGCTTGAAGAATGGCTGACTTCACAGTGCCTCCATTTTTGCCTGGATTCGTTTTCCATTAAATACTCCAGACTGAACTTTTATGGTCTAATCTTTGAGCTTCAACCCCAGAGTGTAGCAGCCGTATGAGTTCTCTTTACAAAAAGGCTGTGGTTGGTTCTTGCCAGTATCCCCAGGAGATAACACACCGGCACGTCTCAATCCATGAATACCTGCATGCCACAGCTGTGTCTCCCAATGATGGGACTTGGGGGCAGTTCATGTGGCAACATTTGTGGCTTTGGTCCATAGGGGTTAGGACTTTGAGGTAGACAGCAGCAACTTAACTCTTGAGTCCTAGCAGTTCTGCAGTCATGGAAATCACTGCTGTGAATTCTGTAGTTAGCTCACTGGATATGTTTATCAGAGAAACAGGATTCCGTGCAGCTTTCTGTTTGATGAGTCCAGATGCACCGTGTCATGCCAGTGATTCTTGAGAAAGGAGCTCTATGATCTCTTTTGCTTTCTTGCGTTTGACAGTAATACCGTTTCCCCGAAAATAAGACCTACCCCCAAAATAAGCCCTAGCAGGATTTCTATGCATTTGTGCTATAAGCCCTAGTGTGTCTTCTTGAGAAAAAATAAATATAAGACAGTGTCTTATTTTTGGGGAAACACGGTACAAGTAAGCCTCATGCTGTTGGGCTGTGGAGGGACGTTTTATATGGAGTAAAGCGGTCTTCATGAAATCAACAGCACAGTAGCCTTTCCCCTCTGTATTTCCCCCTGGTATGATGACAGAGGAAAGCAAAATATGTACTTCAGAAACACTGTATCTATACCAAACATCCTGATGCTCTACTTCTCTAAAATGATTCACCTACCTGAATTTTACTCTCTCTCCAGACCTGCTGGCTGGGACAATGAAAAGAAAATTGCCATCCTGCATGAAAACTTTACAACGGTGAAACCTGAAGATGCATATGAAGACTTCATTGTAAAACCACCAGTAAGAAAGGTACAGTAGGCTTAAAAACCACTTGTTTTTGTCCCCCATCTTAGAGCTGCTCGGCTGGGCTGGCATCGGCATACTCTGAGGAGGGGCAGCCGTTGCTGCCCAGGGCTTCTCTCTGCTCAGGGCCTCCCAAAACCTGGAACTGCCCCTGCTGCTGTGAGGTGCTTTTGTTCCAAGTTCTTCCAGGCCATGAACATCAGATAGTCAATCCGTTAATTTCGACTCTCTGAAGTGGCCTAATTTCTTTATCTTCCAAGGCTGCTGTTGCAGTTGCTTTGGCAGATGCCATGAGGCAGGTTCACTGAAGTCAGATAGTTCTGTTGGTACTATTGCCAGTTTTCTAAAAGCGTATGCCTCTTGATCTGTGATCGACATGCTGTGTAGAATTGCAGAGTGGGGAAGGGACAGAAAAATCATGCAGTCCAGTTTCTTGTCACAAAACAGGACGTCTCCAGAAACTCTTCTGGCAGATCGCTCCCTGTGCTATATGCAGACTGTGGGCAGAACAGTTCCCCCTGTTTTAGCCCTGCCAAAGCATGGCATAAAATAGTTTTCTTCCAAAATTCTTGAAGTGGCAGTAAGATTCCTCTTGAGGCTGGTGGTTAAGAGCTCTTGTAACATTGATTCTGTCATGGCATTTCTCAGCTTTTTCGAATTTTCATGGTTGGCTGTGGTTCTAAGTGTACATTCTAGTAGTCCCCTTTAGGAGGCAAACACACAGAAAGTGAGAACTGGTGGATTAGCAAACTGTTACAATACTGACATTTGAATAAGAGTGGAATGGGGCATTATGGGATCCCTGGTGGGGAAAATTTGGGCTGTATTGCTACACCTTTTCTGCCCAGAGGAATGAACTGTGAATGTTTATAGTTTGGATACCTATTTCCGGTTTGTACAAAGGCTTTTTCTTTTGTCACTCCTCAGTTAGTGCACGATAAAGAGCTTGCAGCAGAAGATGAACAAGTGTTTCTTATGAAGCAGCAGGTAAGAAAAATCAGAATTCATTTTGTAAGTTTTTCATACTTCAGAATTTTTTCTGAACCTTGGACTGTTTCAAATATCTGGTGTTAAATCTTTCTGTTTTAATAATCAGAAGTAAAATATATGGGTAGTAGAATACACTCCCTTCTCCTTAACTAATGAATCCTTTGTCAGAAGGACAAGGTTGGGACTATCACAGAGAGGGCGGGAAGCATGTGGGCCTCTGTTCTCAGTGCCTGAATCCATCTCAGCTGAGGCCCCCTTGCCTCTAGCGTCCAGGAAACAGACGCCTCTCCTTTGTGCCTGGATCCTTTTCCAGCTTAGCATTCCCTCCCCAAGGAGCATTTGCATTGTTTTAATTCATGTGTTACTGGATATATCATCCCTGTGTGCTGATCCAGGAACAAAATGTGATTTAGGTACAGCACTGGTGAACATTTACATTGTGCACTTAAAACTAGTTTAGTACCAGGTTAAATGCCACGTCTTTTTCAAAAACAGCCTGAAGCTTCTAGTTGTCCATAGAAGCTGTAAATATATATACTGCATGAGAGATCAGTGCTCATTGCAGTGCCTGGGGCTCCCTCATTTATGCATGGGAAGCCAACTCCAGTTAGAGCAGTTTTGAGATGGTGTGTAGACTTGCTGATAATGACCAGAACCTGGTACTTGGAACCCATGTGGGTCTGTACGGTTTCTTCTGTGGATCAAAGAGTGTTTCCAGTCCATTAAGGAAAGTAATCCTTTTCTCTTGAGTCTCAGTGCCCCCTAGTGATATCATTTGGTAATAACTATTTAAATGAGTTGAGGAATTCAGTGGCGAGGTTGAACTTAAGCTCACAAAAGCATCTTTAGTTATTCTTTTATGTTCTTAAAAAATTATTTTCTGTTTCAGTCTTACCTTGCCAAGCAGCCAGCTACACCTACAAGGGCTTCTGTGAGTATACAAATATGGAAAAGCCACTTCTAGATTAAAATAAAGTGCTACCTCCCCAGGGTCTGATTGAACAGTGAACCTTTTTCCGACGTATCTGTTTTAGAATCTGCTTGTGACATGGCGTGCAGTTTGTGAAAGTCATTTCTAACGGTATCTGGCACAGTTCTGGCATTAGGATGTCTCTGTGTAGGCAATTTTACTCGCTGAATTTAATTTCAAAATCTGAGTGTGGGATTTCCCCCCAAATGGCTGCTTTGAAACTGACTGATTGCCTTTCCCCATTGGAAGAATTAGTGCCCTATCAGTGAAAATGGAGAGCTAGCATAAGGTGTGAGGAGACAAAGTGTCATGTTGAGTAAGGAGACTCGGAAACTTAAGATGGGAATGATGGTAAAGAAAACAAGACACACAGCAGGAAGAGGAACCCATTCTGAGAATACAGAAGCAAGCTCCAACTTGTTGGTTAAAAGCCCTGAAATTTGAACCCATAACATTTTCCTTGTAATTCACCAGACCCCATTGCAAGTCGATTTGTACTTTGTTTTTTTCAAAGTGAGGGCTGCTGCTTCTTGATAAAGAAGAAAATAAAACACTTAATGTTCTCTCCTCATTCTTCAAGCTGGGGAAGTTCACCCATTGGTGAACTTCCCCAGATTGAAGAATGAGGAGAGAACATTAAGTGTTTCATTTTCTTCTCTATCATTTGACGATCCCTGAGCAAATACTTCATGTACGATTGCATTTTTTGGGTCCTTGGCTTTAAACTGCATTGTGTCACTATACAGGAATCACCTGCAAGAGGGCCTTCTGGATCACCGAGACCCCAGGGCAGGCCTTGTCCTGCCAGCGTCCCCAGTGCCTCGCCGATAGCATCAGTTAAGAAACCAGACCCAACTATTAAAAGTATGCATTACACTTCAGTATTCTGATTTTTTGTTTGTTTCGCCTTCCCTGTTCCTAGAACTGAAGAGTTCATCAGGTGACAGGGCAGGTACAGCGCAGCTAATAATGCCAGTTATTTATTTTGGATACTTGGCAGGGAGCTGTTGGGGTTTGGGAACCCTTCGCTGCTTCTGCTTTGTCCTGTTTGTGTTCAAACTTGATTGTGAGTTTCATTTTCCTCCTTTTGATTAGATAATGCTGCCAGTGAAGGCGTGCTGGCCAGCTTCTTCAACAGTCTATTGAGTAAAAAGACCGGCTCTCCTGGAAGTCCTGGAGCAGGAGGCGTGCCAAGTACAGCCAAAAAATCAGGTAGCAACACACGATCACTTCCTATGCATTTATTCTGCTTGAATGTTTTTGAAATCAATAGGTGTTTGGCCAATGTCAGTGTTGTATCCCTGAGCTTATCTTGCCAGATCCACCCTTCTGCTTCTTGGTTGTGACGCTGGGAGTGTGAAGGAAACTTGGGGTTTCTTCTGAAATCTGAGTTGAGAGCATTTTGAACTGGCTGTTTATATATGTGCAAGTTTGGCGGGCACAAGGAAATCTCAGAGGGGATAAACTGTTCTCTCCTTAAGCTGACTTCCAGGGCTAGATGGGTAGCTTCCTGTCAACTCCCAACCTGAGAGCTGGTATGGTGTAGTGCTTAGAATGGCAGACTAGGATCTGGGAGACCCAGGTTCAAATCCCCACTCTGCCATGCAGAAGTTGCTGGGAAACCTTTGGCCAGATACGTAGTCTTAGGTTAACCTGCCTCACAAGGTGGGGGTTGAGAGGATAAAATGGAGGAGAGGAGCCAATTTTTGGGCTCCACTGGGGAGAATAAACAGACCTCTGCCTCTGTAGCACACTTGTGTTGACCGCTGAGATGTGAGGCAGGAAACTGCACCTCCAGTGCTGCAGTTGAGTGATAAAACACAAGTGAGGGGGTATATTTCCTCCTCCCTATGCATTGTGTCATTGACACAGAAAGTACTTCATCTTTCTGTGTTATACCTCTGAGGATGCCAGTTACAGCTGCTGGTGAAACGCCCGGTTACTACAATGCCAAGACCACGGCCATACAGCCCGGAAAATCTACAACAACCATTGTGTCATGCATTCACCAACCCAGACTTCACACATACACCCCCATTCTGGTTGCTAGGGGCTGCGCCCTCTTCTCAACTTAAAACATCTGGGAGGAGCAGAATTGTGCAGTCAATCAGGATAGAATAGAAATACTGTTCTCTGATCCTAATTAATTCCTCACTCAGGACTCTCTTAACGTCATAGTGGCCAGAACCTTTAAAAACAGATGACATTCCGGTTCAGGGGGAAGGGGGAGAACATGGAGGTCCACTTCGCAGTGATCTCCCCTTCTAAGGTAGTACAAGCAATTATGTGCTCAAACAGGTCAATTTCTTCTCCCTCACCCCTCCAAAACTACTCTTGGCATTCTGTGTTTCTTTTTCCAGGCTATCCTGGTTTATTTTTCTTCCAAACTGTTGTCCATACTGGGGAATCCCTTGAGTATGCAGAAGCCTGTAGTCAAACCTGCTCCTTTCCCATAGTTCTGTTGGTACTAATAGCCCAGCCCAGCCTGCTCTCATCAGAGCTTGGAAGCTAAGCAGGGTTGGTGCTTGGATGGGAAACCACCAAGGGAGACTGGGGCTGCTGTGCAGGGGAAAGCAGTCACAAAACACCTCTGCTCCTATCTTGCTTTGAAAACCGCATAAGTTCGATCTTTGTGTGGTTAAACTGAGCTGGTTGCAACTCAATGGCACACTTTAGTTTTACTTATTGCTATCCATGATCAGATTCACTGTTTGGAGGAGTGCTTTTTATGTATAGATCATTTCTCTCTTGCTGCTTTTTAGGGCAAAAAACTGTTTTGACGAACGTTCAAGAAGAACTGGATAGAATGACTCGCAAGCCAGACTCGATGGTAACGACCAACTCCTCTCCGACAGAGAACGAAGCTTGATAATGCTTAAACCTGCATATGTAAATGACCAAATAACTATGTACATTGATCCGATAAGACCAGGAGCTCTCTGCTGTGGCAGATTCTATAAGTTTTCTTGGGGCAGGGAGAAATGAAATTTAACCTTCATTGGCTTGTCCTGGGTATCAAGTGCACATTCAGGAAGATTTGCATATAAATTTCCTCTGTTTTAAGATAACCATTTTAGAGTTTCAATAGGGCAATTCTCTTGATTTTGGGGGGTGGCGACCAAGGGGCAGCAGTGGTTCTCATAGGAAGAGCACAGAGACATGAGATGCGGAAATCTGGTTGAAATGGCACGAAAGAAGAAACGAAGTCCCCTTTCCCCGAACTTGCTGGAGTTGGCCATTGGCAACGTACTTGGGAGAGAATGTGGTGTAGTGGAATGTTGGTTAGATGAAGAGTGTATAAAATGCTGCATTAAAAAAAAAAAGGAGAAATGCGAGATCTGGCTTGATAGATGCAAAAAGCAAGTTGGACAGACCAGAGGGAACGAAACCAGTGTTAATGAACCCTGTGTTTGAATATATAGATCAGATAATCACTGTTTAAAAAACAAACAAAAAGCCTTCACAATTTGAAAGTGCTTGAGGCTTAAACACTGAGCATCATGGGAATTATTTTCTTGATCTAAAATTGCATTTTTTTTAGTTTTAACAAGGAGATGCATTTTTAAAAAATAGGTGGGTGCCCTTTTTGTCTTAGCTGACACAGGGAGAATCTTGCTTAGACCAAGTGCCTGGCACAGTGTGAGATGTGTCCTTAGGAGGTGCTTGAATCTTTTGTGCACTGTAGTACAAACAACCTCTGTTTGGCTTTATTTTAAAACTTGGTAATTGTGGACAGTTGTGTTTTAATTTTAAAACCCTATTTTTTTCTGATTGCTTCTGCCTTGTGTATCTGTGTGTTTTTTTCTCTAAATACCAGCCACCTGATCTGTTAAGAAGAATGGGTGACATATCACTTCCCCATAATGCAATGTGTTACAGAATAATTGTTTCTTTTTTTTCCATAGTTAAAATTGTGGAACTTAAAAAAAAAATATCCTGAATCCTGCCTTAAGGTTTATAAAACCTGTGGTGGTTTCTGGTAGACTTCCAAATATTTTGTTTCAGTAAACAATAGAAGTGTGTAGGTTTCCATCGATAAAACATAGAGCTTAATGGCTTTGTGACATCTATGCCTTCCCCCTTCAATGTAGCCTTTTCAGTCTAGAAGGAAGGCTCATGATTATCCCTCATTGCTCTTTGGATTGGTGCCCACAGCCACTGTGAACAGTGGTTCTATGGAAGATTCCCACGGTTACTGAAATAGCACTGAGTTTCTGTATGGAATCATTGACGGAGAAACACTACCTTACATTACATTATCAAACGTGTTTGTATTTGACATACTGAAGGGGGGGAAAATACTCCACTGTATGAATTATGCAGAGTTTACTTTTATTGATAACGGATTTGTGTGTAATGCAAGATCTTCTTTCTGGATAGAACACCCCTAATATTTATATAAATATATATATATATATTGTTAAACATTGCCGAACGGATTGACCACTAACACAGTACTGGATGTAATTGCAAGCCCTGTGTTCCTGAAAAGAGGCCATGTCTCCTTGTGTTTTTAAGTCTGTCTAACACTATCTAGAAAGCTAAGAGTATTTACTTGCATTAATGTTAAAAGCATGTTTACATGTGCCAGTTATTTTATTATTTTTTACATTTTTATAAGTTTTGGAACCTCACATCCACAGTTGCCTAGATTTTTAAATGGAGAAGTTGTGATCAGAGGGTCTGGTTTATGGTTCTCCTGCCTCTTTAGATATGGCATGTGAAGCATTGGATGCAAGTCTAAAAGTGCAATCTTGGAACCTCCTTGGCTGATGACGTTTACATCCCATCTTTATGATGCTGTTGGTGTGCTGTTGTTGCAGCTGCAGCGAGTCTGGCATTGAGACTCTTTCTCTGCCATGTGGAAGCATGTAGCAAGGTATCTCATGCTGGGATGGTTCAATTCATGTGAGATTGGGGGGGGGGCATGGCCATTCTATTGCTGCTTGGAGGGGCCACGACATGGTGCTGAAGCAGCTACTTTATGTGCAAAAGGTTCAACCTCTGGCATCTGCAGTTAAAAGGATCTAATGTAGCCAGTACTGGGGAAGGCCTTTCTCTGCCTGAGACCCTGGAGAGCCATTGCCATTCAGAGTAGACTGTAGTGAGCTAGATGGACCAGTGGTTTAACTTGGTACAAGGCAGTTTCATACATATATACCATATATGTATACTACCTTGCCATGACTGCCTAATGCATATGGTGACTGAGGGCTAACTTTGGTTTTGTGGGAGGCACCTTTCAGTTTGGGAAATGAAATATCAGCAGTGAAAAGGGCAGGTTGGCTAAGCGTTTCCTGATGGTATGCAGTTGGGATGCAAGCCTCACTCCGCAACCGTGTGTTTTCTTTTATTATTTTTTTGTTATTAAAACAGATACGCACTTTGTGTACAAGTGGCTCCTGAAGTTTTTTTTTATTTTTATAAAATGAACATTAGATATCCTGTAAATGAGCAAAAGCCAACAATTATACCACTTGCCAGTTGTTCAAAAGAGTGCTTGGACCCAAATGGAAGTTTGACTTAAAGAGAAAAAAAAATTCCCTTTTCCTTGTTGCAAGTGAATGCTCCTAGTTTTTCAAAGGAATGAAACTGTAAGTAATGTGGATATGTGTCGGTCGCCAAAGTCTAGCAACTTTGGAAAGCTGCACAGTTAATTTTTCCCCCTGGTGTTCTCAAGCATTGGAACCAAAGGCCAAACTGCAAAACAGCCTTTATGTTTTTTTAACAAAATACAATTAATTTTGTTTTCAGGATTACACTTGTACGGTAGACTGTTATAAGAAATTACATGGTTATATTTATATTTACAGTATAGTGACTGCATCTACTGTTCATGTTTAAATTAAAGAAATAATCAATTCAACTTGAAGGCAAAATATAAAGAATTAAGGATTGGCCCTCCATCAAAATGCTATGGTTTATGCTGCTTGTTTTTCTTTTTTTTTAAGTTTGCACTTTTTATTGGCATTTTAAAATTTGTTTAAACTGAACAGAACTTGTTGTATTTTATTTAATTTAATGACATTGAAAGTGACTGAACTTAACCATATCTATGCTGTAAATGAAAAAGTTCACTCTCCTCTCTTACTAAGTTTATTGATGTTTTTAACTTCCTACGAGGACTGCAGATGTATTCACCACAGCCCTTAGTCCAGTTGTATGGCTTTAACCAGGTGCAGTCAATGTGGAATCTTGCTTTCTAGTGCTGGCAAAAAAATGAGGACATGTCTTTAATTACTGGCTTCAATAAACACAAACCAAGACTGCTTTGCTGGTGTCTGTCACTTTTTATTAAGTGAGACAGTTGTAGAACTGTGGTTTTGGCTTTTAAAAGGATCACTTGCCCTCATTTAATACAGAATCGGGCACTTTCGTTTTGTTGTACAGATCTTCTACCATGTGCAAAAATTGCTTATGTTGGGTCAGACCATCGGTGGAGCCATCTTCATGATCTGCATGTGATCGGTGGCAGCAGAGATCGCAGGGTACAGTCCTAGCAACTTTTTAAATTGCAATGTTAAGGTTTCTTTAAACTGAATTGTATTTTATTTAACTGCATCAGTATGTAACTATATCCATGCTGCAAGTGTTTGCTCTTAAGTTACATGTTCCCTGAACATGCGGCTTGTACTCCACCGCATATCACCTGTTCATCATTTTTGAAAAATATTTTTCGCTAGTTGTTCTCAGCACAACTGCTACAGGCTTTTATAACATGTCTGTTGCTACGAGCTAAACCTTCTTTGCTGTTGAAGCGAAGAATGAGCAATTCTCCCAGTTCTTTTAATGGCCTAAGTATTTGAAATGCTTTTGTGATAGCTTGCTCTTCTGCAGTTCTGATTCCTTTGTTCCTAGTATCTTTCCCTTTTTACTCTTCTGCAGCAAGGGCTCTGAAGGATTTACAAAGAAGATTCACAGTAGTTCCTTTTTGTTTGTCATCAAGTCACAGCTGATTTATGGTGACTCTGTGGGGCTTCCAAGGCAAGAAACATTACGATGTGGCTTGCCATTGCCTGCCTCTACGTAGTGACCCTTGTATTCCTTGAAGGTCTCCCATCCAAATACTGGCCAGGGCCAACCCTGCTGAGCTTCCGAGATCCGACAAGATTGGCTTAGCCTGGACTGTCCAGGTCAGGTGCTTTCTCCTACCATCCATTGTATTTAATTCAGGGCAGTAAGTTAATTAGCTTGGTAAAACTAGGGAGACTGCCAGTTATTGCTGTGGGTGAATGGTCTCCATGCTGTTCCTGGTTACATTTTAATTTTACATAATTACCTCTCACTGTACATTTCCTGCATTTTCCTTTGACCTCACTGTTTGTCTTTTTCTTTTGTCATTACCTCAGTTTGGTGTAGTGGTTAACTGCATGGACTCTAATCTGGGAGAACTGGGTTTGATTCCCCACTCCACTTGCAGCTGCTGGATGACCTTGGGCTAGCCATAGTTCTGTCAGAGCTGTTCTTGAAAGAGCAGCTCTCGAAAGAGCTCTCTCAGCCCCACCTAACTCACAGGGTGTCTGTTGTGGGGAGGAGAAGGGGAAGGAGTTTGTAAGCCACTCTGAGACTCTGAGTGAAGGGCGGGGTATAAATCCAATCTCTTCTTCATATAGATACTGGCTGCCTACTACATTCATCTGACTGGCGATTTTATGGCTGTCGCAAAGAGCCCGCAAAAGCTTTAGGTTGAGTAAAAACACGTTAGGCTTCAAAGTGCCCCAAGACCCTTCTCAATACTTCTGTTCACCTGTGTGTACTGCCTGTGTGTACTCTACTATATAAAATACTTTTTCATTCTTCTGCCTTATCATTGCTGGTTTGTAAGAAATCACAGCCACCTGATTCTACAAAACTGGGAGGGGTTTTCCGCCCCAAAAAGTCCTTATAAGCTGTGGAAGAGACGAAGAAAAGAGAAGTAAAGGCTGAAAGACTAAATTGTGCCTTTGAGAACTGTGAATGGGGATGACTGGGGGTTACTGTTCTTAGTTAAGTTTTAAGAGTTAATGAAAAGGAAAAAGTACTTAAATGTCTGACTCAGTTTATATTGATCTAAATGAAGTGAAGACTTGACGTAATGAAGCTAGTGAGGATCTCCTGTCTTGGGTTTTTAGTCAGTAGTGGGTTTCTATACTTTGTCCCGTATATGCAGGGGTCATTTCATAGAAAAAGAGCTAGGGGAACTCATTAGCATAACTCATTAGCATATGCCACACCCCCTGACATCACCGGAAGTGTGTCCTCCCCACAGCCGGCGGCGACCTCCAGCAGGCACCAGCAGGGAGCTCCAGGCCCTGCCCTCCCGCACCTCACCCGGGGGGATGGCGTCCCCCCCCCAAATGACCCCTGCGTATATGTAGTCCCCCTTCCCTTTTTCTGTGATAGTTTTTGTAGTCTGAAAAAATAAAATAAAAAATCCCCTCCGGGGGCTCAAAAACAACAACTGGGAGGGGATTTCCTTTTGTAGATTTATTCTCAAGAAAACTTATTTGTTCTACAGGCAAACACTTGTTTTTCTCATCAAGTCTTGGTGCTAGATTTGCCAATTCCAGGTTGGGAAAGTCCTGGAGATGTTGAGAGTGAAGCCTGGGGAGAGGACGGACCTCAGCAGGGTATAACAACATAGAATTCACCTTTCAAAGTAATCATTTTCTCTAGGGGAACTGAATTCTGTTGTCTGGAAATTAGTTGTAATTCTGGGAACTCTTCAGGCACTACCTGGAGGTTGGCAACCTACTTGGTGCTCTTAGTAAACAATAGCACAAGAATGATGGTCCATAAGCACCGGAGGCACTGCAATACAGTGCAATCTGGAAAAGGGGTGAGGGGATGGGGAGAGAATCCCCTTCAGTCCAGAAAGCTTAGTGTCCATTCTAACCCAGGTAACATACACTAACCTTAAGACTACTGGTTCAGCAAACAACCTTTATTGCATTTCAGTTTTATGTATATTTTTGAAACGATATTGCAAAACTATATTGTCATATAAGCATCTGTATATTTAGTCCTTTTTGGTACTGGGATAAATTCAAATTTGGGGATTTGTGCTGAATTTTGGCTGTAAATTGGCCTTGGGTAAAGGTGCATACAGACAAAATTTAAGGGAAAACTGTGCCTTGGAAACACTGTATTTTGCTCAAATTTTCTTTTCATGGCGCTCAAGAGAACTTTTCTGCCTAATGGCAGCAAAAACTGGCTGTGCAAAACTCTTGATTGGCAGGGACATGTAGAGTCATGACTGCTCCCCCCCCCAAACTGTTTTTAAACTTTTTTAAACAAGTGAATAAATTTTAGTTACATTTTGTTGTTGTTCAGTCGCACAGTCGAGTCCGACTCTTCGCGACCCCATGGATCATCTCCCGCCAGGCCCTCCTGTCTTCCGCCGTCTTCTGAAGTTGGCTCAATTAATTAATTCAAATATTTCTAGCCATACTTGCAGCCAGTGTTCCCTCTAAATTGAGTTAGTGTGAGCTAGCTCACTGTTTTTTAGCCTCTGGCTCACACCTTTTTGTCTCAGCTCCGGAAGGAGGGCTCCAGAGCAAACTAGTTTATGCAGTAGCCAAATTGCTCGCTCACAACTTTAATGCCAGTAGCTCACAAAGTAGAATTTTTGCTCACAAAACTCCACATCTTAGAAGGAACATTGCTTGCAGCACCTTAAGAAAATCGGGAAGCCTGCTTGAAGCATGGGAGAGGGGAGAGAGCAGATCTGCTGACGTGTGTTTATGATTGATTTGCATTCTGAACATAAGAGGGAAGCCAGGTGCATCTCTCTGAAAGAGAAAACAGCTCTTGGCTATTGCTTTTGGTATCCTGGCTCATTCTTTTGGGCTGATATCTCCTGAAGAGATTATCAAACCTAACTTTACCATCTCTCATTCTTTTAACTCTGTACATCTCTTTACCTCACTGTTTCCTATACTTGCCCTAGTCACAGGTTGGAAGTGAAGCAGGACTGGCCATTTAGTACTTGGATGGGAGACCACCAAGAAACACTGGGGCTGTTATACAGAGGGAGGCAATGGCAAACTATCTCTGCCCAGGATGGGGTCGCTGTAAGTTGGCTGCACATTTCACCTTATCCTTGCTGGATAGGGATTGTGCAATAGCTTTTTGCCTTGCTGAGAGATCCTGTGTTACAGTAGAAATCTCTAATTTTAACTGTGTGGTCACCGTGATACAAAATGCATTCTCAGTCTGGTAATCTTACTTCCCTATTAGAAATACAGTTTGAAAAATTTCTGATGTAGCTGCTTCTTGGGTGGCTAAAAGGCCATATCTTACACACCTTTCACTATCCTGTGTCCTTTCCACCCTGCTTTGAGCAATATTTGCAATACAGCATCTGATGTTGGTTGCCATTGTCGGCAGTGTAATGCTGTCCTGCTCCATTTTCAGCATGCAGATTAGCTGTACTGCCGCAGTTTCACAAGGCCTGATTATGCTGGTAATTACTGCCCATCCCAGCCTAAATTTCCTATAGCAGTTACCCAACTATCCTGGACTTGCAGAAGATAGATGCTTTATTGTTTGTCTCTTTTACTTAAAGGACAAACAATTTAAGATTTTTTAAAGCAATTTAAAATGTTTGGGCAGCAGGAAGACTGCAGAATGAAATTTCCTGCACAACTAGTACAAAGGCCCTTAATGCAAATACACGGTGGTGGGGGTGGGGAAGGATTCTTTAGATCAGGCTGCCTTTTGATCCCTCTCAACTTGACAGTACCTTTCTCAGCTTCTGTGTTGCTTTAGTGCTTCTTCCTTTCATCTCTTTCCATATTTATCCTTTAGCACTTTTGGAAAAAAAATGTTTTTGCACCTTATTTCTTATTTATAAACTTATTAGCTATGGATTTTCACACCCAGATTTTAAAGCAGACAGCAGCTAGGATTTGTGCTTTG